CCTTTTGGAAATATACCTGGAGGTGAAACTGAGCCCAGGTGAAAGCCCTGCCACATGTCCAGCACCCCGGAATCCATAAACCATTGCAATAAGTGGTTTGGGAATTCTGTAGAATCCCCAGATCCATCTTTTACCTTTTTTTTTTTTTTTTCCCATAAAACCTATGCTTTAATTTTTTTTTTTTTTTCAGAATCCCTGTGCTTTTCCCCAGGGTAAATTTCCCCACCAGTTTTCAACGCACGATTAAAACCCCAAGTGCTGGGCTGGGCAACACCCGAAGGCAGGATGCAGCAGCTGAAGGCAGGATGCTGCGGCCAGAGGCTCCTGGAAGGACTGACGGTCCCTCACAGCAGCTGCTGAGGCCGCTGGCTCCGTGCCGGCCCCCCGGGCAGGAGCTGTGCCCATCCCCGGTGCCCACCCCGGTGCCCACCCTGGTGCCCATCTCCTGTGTCCATCCCCGGTGCCCATTCCCGGTGCCCATCCCCGGTGCCCACCCCGGTGCCCACCCTGGTGCCCATCTCCTGTGTCCATCCCCGGTGCCCATTCCCGGTGCCCATCCCAGGTGCCCATTCCCGGTGCCCATTCCCTGTGCCCATCCCTGTGCCCATCCCCGGTGCCCCGGTCCCGCCGCCCTCCGGCTCCTGCCCGCGCCTGGCGGAGAGAGAAACCAGCGCATCTGTTTCTAATGAAGCCGAAGCCAGTTTAGATCCAGCCCCGCACGAATCCGAGCTTTTGAAATAGATCTGGAGTTCTGTGAAATGCACATGTAGCGCTGCCCTGGGGGGATGCAGGGGAGCGGCTGCCTGTGCTGAGCAGCCCCTCCCGAGGCCAGCCTGAGCTGCCGCTGCCTTTCCTTCTCGGGAATGCTCCCTGTCCGTCCATCTCAGCCCCTGCCCTGTGAAATGCTCTGTGTGGTGGGGCAGGGGCTGTCCCTCTGCCTGGTCGATGTTTAAGGTGTTTTATCTCCTCAGCACCCTGGGGTGAGCGCTGGCACCTCCCGTTCCTGCCCATCTCCAGACACCAAGCACGGTGCAGAAGCTCTCCATCCGGTGAGATGGTGAGAAGCGGTGCAGAATTTCCATCCAAATCTGGGATGTGAGGAGTGATGCTGGCGATCACCGTGGTGCTGGCTGAGCACAAGCTGTGCCTTGCCACGCTCCCCACAGCCCGTGCCAGGCACACATCACCTCCCTACCCCTGGCCAAGCACGGAATCGCCTCCAAAATATTTATTGTGACTGTGCTGCACGGTCCAGCACGCAGCAGGGAGGAGGATGCTGGCCTGGAGCAGCCGGGGAAGGCTCTGGACAGGGCTCAGGACAGGCTGGAGGCTCCGTGGGCCCGGTGGAAAAGGCACCTTGTGCCCCCCAGCCCTGCACGGCAGCTCTTTACAGCACCAAAATTTCTTGTTTCGAGCCCTGATCCTGCGCATCCCGCCCGTGTCAGCCTCCGGAGGGTGCCAGGGGGACTGAAAACCACCCGGACACGGCAGGGCAGGGCAGGCTCAGCCCAGACGAGCAGGGGAAAAGCGCTGAGCAAGGGAAGGACAGAGCCGGGGGTCTCCTTGGGAAGGTTCGGGTTCGGTGCTGCAGCAGCCTCTGCCTGCCCAGGAACCCCAGCCTGGCACTGCCTAGCTCGGAACCCTTGGCTGTGGGATAAATCCCCCTGAGGAGGTGGGATAATCCCCCCTTGACGAGTGCAATGTTCCCTCTTGGAGCTGCCAGCCCCGTCTGGATCCATTCCCGAGTGCCAACCCAGGGCGGGGCAGCTGGAAAAGCACTTCCAATAAATCAGAGCAACTTCAGAGCTTTATAGTGAATATCTTTCGTCCAGCTGAATCAGCGCTGCCAAGGCTGGGGTGTGCTTCCAGCCGTTTTTCCGGCAGCCACGGGCAGGTTTCCCTGCAGGAATGTGTGCTGCTCTGGGATCCATCGGGAGAGGGCAGCTCGCCTCCGCCTGAGAGCAGCGCTTGTCCCTCCTGGTGCCTTCTGCAATTTTCTGCTGTTTTTTAACCGGCTGGGCTGAGAAGCCCAGCTCTCCTCACCCAACATCTCCCTGCAGACGTGTAGAATTTAGGAAAAAAAAAACCCTCAAGTTTACAAAATTCTGAAAAATTTAAGAAAAAGCAGTAAAAATCCGATTTTTACCGATTTAGGGATTCATTAATCCCCTATAGCTGCTGATCTCACCCCGAGGCTTTGGTAGAAGCATCTCTGATGGATGCACCCACTGCCATTCACTCAGTCAGAAATGTCAACAACAGAGACAGGCTTTAAAAATTGATTTTGGTTTTCAGAAAGCTGTGCATTGCTTCCTCAGCCCTGGGGCTGAATTTCCTAAGAAGTGCTCCATGATCTGGAGAGTAAAAAGGGTAATTTTACCCTTTTAAAATGTAAGTTTTTCCTGTCATGAGCAGTTGCCAAAATGATGGTGCTTTGCCCAATCTGCCCCAAGTGGCAGACTTGGCAGTGCCCAGCCCTTCTCCACTTAGCCTGGGGTTTGGGTTGGTGTGTGAAAATGGGTGTTAGTGGAGAGGCACAGTCAGAAATAATTCCTTTTTTTCTGCCATTGTATTTGGCCTTTACTCTCCTTGGTGAATTGGGCTTGTACTTGTGATACTCTCCTACAAAGGAGGCCAAACCTTTGTGAGTGAAAGGCCAGAGTGCTGCATCCCCCAGTTTGTAGCACTGGGCATTCAAACACAGGAATGAGGTGGAGAAGGGTTTCTGCAAAGCCCAGCTGCTCTGCAGCCTCCTGCTTTCCACCAGCACCTCAGCCTGAGGGCTGCACTGCCATGGACCTGCTCAAAAGCAGGTGCTGTGTTTGTATTCTTCACATGAATGAGGCATGCAAAGCTTCTAGCTGCATATTTATTCTCCCAAGTACATTCCTTACGGGTGTCACAATATGAAGTTACATATAAAAACACACAAATATTGTATATATACAAATATACATATATTTCATACATCTACAGTGAGCTGGAGAGAGGCAAGTGGCTCATAAGGATTAGCTCTGCTCCCAGCAGAGGAAAGGCTAATTTCTGATGTTGAGCCAATGAAGATGTGTCAGAGGGCTGGAGTGAAGGGGAAACATTGGCAGCACCTCTCTGCTTTTCAGCATATTAAGATGTCACCATGCTTGGATTAAAAAAAAAAAAAAAAAAAAAAAAAAAAAAAAAAAAAAAGCAAGGCATGAATAATAAATAGAGCAACATGCAGCTGACTTCAAGGGAAAACTAATTTCCCTGGGGCTTGCTCCACTCCATATACATTAAAATCTCACCTGCTTTGACAGCTCTGTGACCTGAAGAGAGATGCTGAGAAATTGGTGTTCAGAGCAGAGCTGGCCAGGGTCCTGCTTCCAAACACATCTGGGATTTCTTTTCAATGCTTTGAGCCCCCTTGCCAGCCATGGCTTGCTCTGCCTGTGGAAGGAGCCACAGTGCAAACCTAGCTGAAATAGCTGAAATTATGTTTGACTATTTATTATTTTTCAATATGTAACCCTCAAATTTCTGTGTTGGGCAGGCTGAAGGGTATCCTGCTTTCCTGATGTTTTCTGTCCTGCTGTGGGACAGTCCATGTGATGGATCTGCTCTGCTGCAGACCTTGCTGGGACATGGTGGGCACAGGGATGGGGTGTGGGGTCAGGCTAGGATTGCTACTGTCTTCAAATAAATATGGAAAAAATGCATCTCCCACCAGTCTCTGCTTTCCCCTGGAGCCTCAGCCTGCCAGCAGCAGGAGTTACAGCTGCTTCCACACCCTCTGCACCCTCTTGAGTTTCCATCACTGGTGCTGCCCTACTCCAGAAGAGCTGTCACTGTGTGAGCCAGGCACGGGTCCATATTCTTGGTTTTTCTCTTTGAGTTCTTTGCTTATTTGGGCAATGCTTGACCTGGTGCCTTTTATCTTGGATCCAGTTTCCACCACAGAAGCGAGGGCTGGTCTGATGTGGGCTGTCCCAGGTGGTCCTGGCAGACAGGGAGGGTTCCGTTTCCTCCTCGTTCTGGGGATGTTTCTGGCACCGGGAGCTTTGGGTGTAACCAGAGCAGGTTCCTGTGCTGAGCCCCATCCCTAGGGAAATAGGGCCTTTCCTGGGCTCAGCACTCTTGGGTGGCACTATTTGTTTGCTCAGACAGCGCAGCAAAGCCACTGACCTTGTTACTCCTCTCTTCATCCTCACTGAGTCACTCCCGAGCTCATTCCGAACTTTGCTCGTGCCACTGACTAATTTATCCCTAGCATTTCTTTCCTGCATTCTGACCTTTCAACTGGAAGAGCGGGCTGGCAGTGGGCAGTGGTTTGGGTGGGTTATTTTGTTTTTTTATCCCGAGGTTATCCGGGTGTGTCTGGGGCTGTAGGCTGAGCCCCATCTGCCGACAGTGCCGGGGCGGGACTCGAACCCATATCTCCCGCTCTCCAAGCCGACGCCTTCCCCGCT